AACCGCAAATAAAAGAACAATTAGATCATTATGACGCCATTTTAACCTGGGAGGGAAGCACCGACAAAAAAATTTTAGAACTATTAAACATTAACCGACCCGTATTTTCGTTACGTGGGTGGGACCTCCACATGGACGGACATTTCGTACTTCTCCTTACTGACTACGGAAGTAACGAACCGATAGCGTCAATCCCAATAGGAAAACACATTAAAAGGGGAAGGGCACTTAAACTAGACGAAGCACATACGCTGTTATGCGAGGACTTATACTATCACGGGGGACTGGAAGCTCATGATCCACGAGCAGACGTTCAATGGACACGGTGCCTCTTTCTACAACTATACAAAGTACATAAAAATACAATTAACGACGCCGTGCGCGCAAAACAAAACAAAATTGAACCTGTAGAATTATAACGTAACTTAACGTATTATTTATATTTTTTTCATTCAATTTATATTTACTTTTTCTTCGGTATTTTATTTTATTATTTTATTATTATTATTATTATTCGGTACAAGGTTATCAATTAGTTTTTTTTTATATATATATCATTTATACATGGGAATGGGTTAATATTTAATAACTTAGATTTTAAAAATCAAAATATTTATAGGTAGGAATATATTAAATATTCAAAACTATGACTTGACTAATGAGCTGAAACGATTTCAGACTTATCCTACTAACAATACCGTTCACATCGGGAACATTACGATTCACAGACGAACATTTAACTCAACATTCTGGTATTTACTACGAAAATCGAGGACCGTTGAAACTTGTAACATCTCAATGGGACCTTACTGCATATATTAATCTTACTAAATATAATAACGAATTCGTTTACATAAACACAGTAATAGAAAAAACGAAAGAATTGTGCGAAGAATACATGCACGACCCAGTACAAGATAATTTTAATTGTAACAATTTACTTCTTTCAACTTCAGCTATAGTAAAAAATTTACACAATAAAAAGACACAGGTCTTAAATTCTATTGGACACGTAATTACTAAACGTAGCGCTTTAACTAAATTCGTAACAAAAGCAGCTAGGTTAATATACGGAATATGCAATTTAGAATGCATACAAAAATTTAATTTTAATATTGGAGTAGCTAAAAACTCATCACAATCTAAGTTAATAAAAGAACAAATTAAGGTAGTAGAACTCCAACATAATTTAGAACCACAAGACAATGTAACTGTGTTGCCATTGTCATTTTCCGCGAACGCAACAACAAACATTCCAAGAGACCAACAAATAAAAAATTATTTAACAAAACATTTTATACACGTTAACTTATTAATTACAAAGCATATGTTAGAAACTGATACGATATTAGAAATTATACAACAAGCAAAACTAGGAGTTATACACCCAAGTTTACTAACTCCGCAGGAGTTATTAGAGCACGTCAAAGACATAAAAGTATCTTTACCAGGGGGGACTGATTTACCCACTGACTTAGACATTACTAACATTTACGAACTGGTGAAACTCTCAGATATTGCTATTTATTATGCTAACGACAATCTAGTTTTTCTAATATCTTTACCATTAATTTATCAAAACGACTTTATTTTATATAATTTAATACCTGTACCAGTATGTATTAACAATGATTGTGTTTATATAAAACCTAGTAATAAGTACATAGCTATAAGTAAATCTAAAGAGCACTATGCAACTTATGACGAATTTTACTACACTCATTGTAAACACGCTAGAGATTTCCTATTATGTCCTGAAGGTAATCCTTTACATCCTCGTAATATACGACCCACATGCGAAGTACTATTATTGCAGGATCCAGACAAAGTTCCATACAGTTGCGAAGTAATGCATGTGCAAATAGGTACAACTATCTTCCATAAAAAGAGATTCAAAAATGAATGGATATACGTAACTGACTATGACGTACTATTTGTTACCTGTGATGAAGACAAAGAATCAACTAGCCACACACTCAAAGGGGTAGGAATTATACATTTAAACGAAACCTGCAAAGGTTACGCCACTAGAGACATACTGATACCGGGTAAAGTTGACTACAAATCCGAGTATATGGACTTCAACCCACGGTCAATAATAGATCGTAACCACTACTCACCACGCGTAGAGACTAACAATTTAATGGAAGACTATCATGTCAAAACAAACAACATGGAGGACCTAAATACAGTGTCAGGTTCGAACAAACAATTGGAAAAACAACGCAAGGTCGACAACAAAATCGACGAACTTAAAAACTCACAGGAACTGAATAATTACATACTTTATGTCATAGCAAGTGTAATTTTTATGACAGTAAGCATATTTACCATAAATACAATTAAATCCAAAATAAACTACACAAAAGTAGAGTCACCAGAAGAAACGGAACCACATGGTGCGAACCAAGAAGCGTCACTAAGAAGCGTCGACATAGTCGAATTTCCACTCGCACCAAGAAACAGCCCTACTGGCTATCCACAACTTCGTACATTCTTGAACTAAGGGAAGTCAGAGACTTCCATCTTCGAGGGGAGGAATGTAGTAAACCGACGGAGTCGCTTTCCTATATTCAATATTTTAATTACATTCTCACGATGTGGCACGCTGGACAACAACAAGACTATTAATCTTTTTTCAATACCTTGGGTTTGGCAGCGCACTTAACGATTAATGTACGAATCTTCGCTTTACCAAAATAATGCAAAAACAAATCTATAAAGGCACTCAATCTTGCGAAAACAAAACTATTAAAGTTTTAATAGTTTTACGTGGAATAAGACTATAAATGTACTCATCTTCACAGGGCCAAAGTAATGCGAAAGCATTAACATTAAAAGCATTAATAGGTTTTCGCAGAAACAAACTATTAAATTGTTATAGTTCAGGTCTTTTGGCAATAACAGCATCTAGCTCCTTTCAGATATCCGTCTCCTTGACTCTACCGTGTACGTTTATATCCGCATAGATTTCATATAAATATAAGATGATGTCTGTAGCAAAATTAGAATTAGTTTAGAGTTTGCACTACGTACATACTGTACGTAACTAACTTCTCGGGCAGATGCTTTTCGCTCTGTCCTCAAATTTATACACTTAATTGTGAACATTTACTTTTTAAAAACGTTAATAAAAACTACTTATAACTAACTTGTGTAACTTGTCTCTGCAACCTTTTATCCTATTCAACCATCAACGTCGTCGAACTCAAAAATATAAGCGTTAGTGAGGGATCACTACAGCACTTTTTTGACTATTTTTGAAAAACCGACGAGCAGTGTTTCCATCGTTTGACGTTCCTTTACCTAAAGTTAAAACAAAAAATCAACAGGATATTTTATCAAGATACATATTATATAAGTATTATAACATTGTTATATAGTATGCTTACCTGGCAATACTACATCTATTAATAATCCGGTTTCGATTTTAAATCGTTTTGTATCAAACTTTTTCTTTTAGAAAATTTATCTTTATTTTCAACTGATCTTACCTACAATCATTTTATTACCTTAATTAAACCCAATTTTAAAAATGTTAACATTTGTTTTTATCTCCATACCTGCCATGTTTTAAAATCCAATCTGTATGAAATATGTAATATACATTCCAAAAATCGTATATAAGCATGTAGTGTAGATAATCCATATGAAAATGTTTCTGGTTTTACAGTATATTTATCCATATTATCAAGCTTATTCATATTCTTTGGAGTACATCCGCAAATGAAACATGTTTGGCTAGATGTCTGCGTTACAGAATGGGCAACCTAAAAATGTTATTATGAATAAATATAGGTATACTGACATTTTAAATATAAATAGTAGGTAGTTTGAATATATTTACTTTTCCGTCTACCATTGAAAAAATCATTGTAATCATTCTAACCGTACGCGTATATATACATATATACATGTATAATTTAATTTTTCCCTATGATGTATTAACTTAAAGTAAAACGCTTTTCACACGCCTTGTTATATATATATGGGAGATGCGCGTATTACACGCGAATTACCTACATCGGTGTACATCGAATATATCGGTTTACGTCGCTCCGTAGACGCACGGCTTAAGTGTTGTAATAGTGTCATAATAATATAGGAACATATTATCGTACATTATTATTATTTAAAGTCATTGTCATATTATATCACACAATAAATAGGTACATATTATATTTGTTTTATTAGGAATTATTATAATTGCATATTTTTTAAAATTTCCATGAGTGTTATATAAATATAGTTTGTATTTTATTTCGGATTGCCTACCTAGGTGGCTAACTTGAAAGTTAATCTTGATTTTGACTTGAGATGACTGACTTGCTAGAAACTCCAACACGGTTTTCTACTTTACACTTTTTACATAAGAAAAAGCACCGGACATGCGAAGGCACATACCTACCACTCTATGTGATATACCTACTATATATAGGTGATAGACGGATTGCTCATTTTAGTTTCGTCCATGAACATATATACTGTTAAGGACTGGCTACTGCTAGACTGGTGTGATTCGCTTATTGTCGCCAGTTCATTAATAATCCGCTAGGAGCGCTACGCATGCGTTCGCCCGTGAGGTATAACTCCTGTCGTGTACTCATAATACTAAAATTGATTACAATAAAAATTATAAATTACTGTAAAATGTACTATATTATGAATTATACTTTTCATAAATAAGAATTCTGTTGATTGGGGTGTTACGAATGGGTGACTTCCCCCCTCCCGCTTATCCACCCAATCAAATTTACTCATTGTAATATTATATTATATTGTAATTACAGATTGTAAATAAAATTTTGTTTAATAAAAAAAATAAAAAATAAAAAAATAATTCTGTTTGATACTTTTTAACTAGTGTTAATATGAAAACATAATTACATAAATAATATCATAGGTATTATATATTATACAGATAGTATATTAATATAATAATAATATTATAATAAAAACATACACAAAATACAACTTTTTTTTTATATATTTAACAATTTTTATGTTAATGTGAATTTTGCTATCTTCTTTTTGTTCATATTTTCTTTTTGTGCTTCGGAATTATAGCTTTGCGAAAACTGTCGCATTCTCATATTTATATAATATTTGATAGTAAAAGCTATTATTTCTTCACTGTGTTGAAAACAAGGAAAATAAAGAGTGTCTTCTAACAGTTCGGTGAGTATTAGCTCTAAAACGTCTGCCATTTCACAATACTTGGAAAACAACTGTTCAATTCTGCATATAAAATTAAAAAAATTAATATTTGGGTGTATTAAGCCTCCTTTGGACTTTAAGTTAACTAGCCGTGCAACCGGTTCATATGAACACAAATTAATATTTTGTTTGATTGCAGATTGACATGTCACACATTTAAAATACCGTAAAATTTGTTTACACAAATACCCTGTGACATAATATATTACACAATCGATTACAGGAGCTACAAAATAATTATGATCACTGGGTTTTATTATATCATCTAAACTCCAGTCATCATGTTGAATTGCAAAGTCCAATTTTTTACGGATCGAATGTAATAATGGTTTGTTTTTTTCCGGATTATAATAAATTGTTTTGATACTATCAAGAGAGATTAAATTTTGAGAAGGTTTATTATTTTCTATGGTGCAGTTTCCTGATTTGGGAGGTTTCAATACGCTGTAAACGGATAACATTTTGTATAATTGTAAAAAGGTTGGAGTAGCTGGATGGTCATTTGCACCTCCTGCTTGGCGAATTGTACCAAAAAAACGCTAAATAGGTAATAATTTAAACTTTAATAATGGTCATAATTTAGTATATTATATTTTTCTTACTTCCACATCATCTTGATTAATTTTTCCAGTAAGAATGTATTGTATACCATATTTTTCTTTTAAGTAAGTGCAAATTTCTAGAGTGGAAGTCAAAGTTACCCTTAGCCCTTCTGAAGTATTATTGGTAAGAAAGTGTTTTGGCTTTATTTTGTTATCAATAACACGCTGTTCCCATTCATTCAACCACTCCAGAGTATTTTGTAAAATCTGCAAAATAACATCAAAATAGTTTAATTCTATTGAATAAAAATATTTTAAGCATTTTAGCTAATGCAAATCAACACCAAACGCCAATTTAAATTAATAATTTGCTAGGATTGTATAAGCTGATGGTACTCAAGCAAGCAAACTGCATATAGTTAAATTACCTATACCTGGTTGTATAGAACAAAGATCATGATTAAAATGCAACTCATTAATTGTTAAATAAATATAAGACCTTATTAAACTTATTTAATAATCAAGCAATTAGTTATCACCAAAGTAAACTAATTTTAAGCATAAAGCCATTATTAGAGGAAAATATGCTCCTCCGAAACAATACAATTATTATTAAAATTATATTAATTTTGCTTACACATTTTGTACGGTTTAAGGTAGATCCGATCCATTGATGGCTGATTTAAAATTAAAATTAAAAAGGTAGTTAAATGGGCATATAGATTTTACTAACTTTTTAAATGTTTAATGGTAACTTAAAACATTAAATATCAATGCAAATTGACATAGATATCATATCACTGTAAAAGTTGTTTTTGTATATTTGAGATTATATCATGGGTTATTCAATATTTAGATATTTTAATATATTATAGCTGATTTGTTTTATTTAAAAATTATTGATATTAATTTTATTAAAATTGTACCTGAAAAAAATATATTTTTTGAATCATTCACAGTAAATGTATTACCAATTATTATCATTTTGATAAAAAAAAAAATATTAATTATTTTACTTTATAATCATCACTATTTGGCGACACTCCTTCATTCTTTAGCTTTCGATTTAATGCATCAAACGCTGCATTCATTTTCAAGCAAAAATTCTCAGTTGCTGTAGAATCGCTTAACTGAGGACTATAAGAGCGATAAAACTCAAGACTCTTTGCCATTGAGTTACTAAGAATCTATAACATAAAATAATCATTATTAGTTAAAAGAATAAATGTCTATAAAAATAAAATAATGAATAATAATGCTACCTGCACAGCAAGACGAACACGCATTTTTGCAGAACTGTTCAAAACTATATGAGATGCAGATAATTTAGGACAAACTTTTAAATTCCCAGGATTCAGTTTATCCAAATTGTAAACATTTACAAAATGATCCCATTTTACTGGTGGTTCATTTTCATGAATCTAAATATTTGAATTCTGGTTACTTTTTAATATATTTTGTTCCCTTTATCTGACATTGAAGATTATTAAAAATGTTCATAGTGAATCTATAGTTTTTAACTTTAATTTTTAAAAAAACATGGATTTCAAAATTCATTTTGAAATATTCTCATCATTAAATTCTACTACTGGTCAGTTTACTATAATGTTTGAAATTAAAAATCTATTTAGATATTGGTATGAATAAATTAAATTAAATTTCTAATAACCAACATAGACCAGCCATTGTTATTTTTAACTTTTAAGTATTGCAATATATAGTTATATAAACTAAATTTTTTTTTTTTTTGAATAAGAACCATTTATTATATACTTAACATATTTTAACATTTTGTCAGTAATAAATATATGGGTTATCAACCTCCTGTAAGCAATAAAGCTTGTGTTGGAGGTTGAGAATTATAATACTTATTTTTAGTGGAATTTGCTCTTAGATATTAAAATATATCAACAAAACAACAAACCTTGAGCTCTTTATTATTATAGAGCCTATTTCTGATATTCTTAAATAAATGTGGCGTATCAGAGAACACAAATATTTTCCGTTTTTCATCTGTTGGGTGCTCAAACCAATTTTTAACTTTATTAATTTTTCCACATATTCCCATTTCGCTCCAAAATTTTCGATTTGGGGCTGCCCCGTCACATACAATTCCATGGATAAACGCTCCTGCTTTTTCGAGTACTGTGATAGCTTTTATTACTAACTGAGTTAGTACTACACCTTTAGTCGGTCCCTTTGATGCAAAAACACCAACGGGTTGGGCATAATTATCTTCTAATGGTATGAACATAAATACTAATCCATGATTTGCTTTATCACTGAAAGTTTTTCCTTTCTCACCTTCTTCACCAAAATCGACTAGACCTGTAAGGTATTCAATAATATGAGAAAATATGAGAAAATACCAATTTTATCTGTGTTTCATTGTTTACCTGTATATGTAAGATTTGCCGAGTTAACTGCAATACTCTCGCGAGTGGAAATTTCATCAAACACGAGCAAACAATGGCGTTGAAATTCTTCTTTTTGTGCCATATAAAGAGAAAACATCTGTTAACATAGATGATAGGTACCTTAAACATGATTTTAATTTATAAAAATGTTTAAACAAGTAATATTATTATATTACCTTCTTATGGTCCTTACACAAGGTAATGGCATAATGTCATTATTTCTAACAAAATTATAGCCACATGGTGAACGCATATGAAATAGTAAACATAAAAGGATCCAATCTTCGGAATATCTGCGACCTTTTAAATTGAGACTTGTGATGCGGACAAAATTTCATGTAAGGCAACCCGTTGATTAGTAGGTATCTTATTAGTTGTTAGCCTTTCTTCAAGATTCATTGTGGTCAGTTTTGACATTTCACCTTGCATATTAAATAATTTATTTTTTAGCTTTTTATTGAGTATTACAGCTCGATATTTCCTTTGCAATGTTAATTTGTGATTTTTACGAAGTTGTACTTTGGGACTAGATAAAATATGAATTCTCTTTGGAGTAGTATTATTTTTTTGTAAACGGAGCCTTTTGCGCATAATAGTCCGTATAGCTTTGTTACAATATTTACAGTCATTATTTTGGTTCAAGATGAGTGGACACATGATATGTCTAATATTACCAGCCGGATCTGTAAATGTTGTTTTAGAATGTAGAAGTTGTTCTTTTAATTTATATCCTTTACAAATGACACTAGTATCAAATTTTTTTAAAATATCTTCTAAGTCTTTAATACAATTTAATCTATTTAATCCAAAAAGGTCATTATTAACTGATATATTCATAACAAAACATTGAACATTTAAATTTACTCCTAACCATACTCTTTTATATAAAATAGGAGTGGGAATATAATTTTCTGTATTTGCTGTTTCTTCTGTTTTAACAATAAAAAAAGAAAACATTATCAACTTTCCAGGAATGTCATGCCTGCTCCATCCACTTGGAAAAACAATGCTGTTAAAATTTTCTTGAAGTTTAGAGAATGAGAAAATCCCTACTGAATCATTAATAGAATCAGTAATAGAAATTTCTATTGACGGTTTAGAATTGAATGCACAATCCATTTGTGGGTCTTTTTTTTTGTCGGTTTTCTTTTTTTTAGGTGAGCTACTTCTAATTAATGGTAATTTCCTTCGTTTTAAAGAGTAGGATAGGTATTTTGGACAGTTTGGAAATATTGACGGTATAGCTCCTTCTTTTAATTTCGGAATTTTATATACAGCCTGTTGAAAAATGATAATTATTAATTTCTAAAATAATATGTATATTTATTAATTACTAAAAGTACTGGCTGGTGCCTAATGGTAACAATTACAATGATGTAAATATGTTTGGTGTTTTAGAATAACAAGGAAATACAATTGCTATACATTTCATATTTTTACTTAATGCAATTGAATTTGTATTTGTTTTAATTAGATTGTGCTTATAAGTAAATATTAAATTAGCCAATAGGTAGGGTACCTATTTATACCTAATAGACATAGAAAACATACCTCAGCTAAAATTGTCCCATCTTTGTCAGTCATTATTCGTTTCCTTAAAATGTCTTCTTCGTGGAAATGCCGTTCACAAACAACCTGACGAGGTTTTATTAAAAAGTCTTTCCTCGGAATTGCTTTTGTCCATTCTCGTAATTGAATATCATCCTTGGGAACTGTGAAAAAATGATATTTTTCTTTACAAGAATCATAACCGGAATTACAACCGGGGGCAATACAGCGATGTCCTGGCATTTTTCACGCGGAAGAAATTAACTTCTTAATTAACAAATAAACAACTTAATTCACTTAATCAACACTATAAAATGTATTCTAATTTTGAAGGAGACAAATTTAGTATTTACTATTTTAATGGTCAATCCGTATTCCGTAACGAGTGGTGAACTTGAAAATTAAGGCGAACAGAGCGTCGCGCTCCTAGCGGATTATATCAACAACGGCGACAATAACATCATCATAATTTTATACGGTCGGTATAGACAAGTGCATAAGCGTGGTTTCGTCTTAAACGGTGATGATTGACTTGATAGACACTTTAACATGCAGGTTTTTGCATTTTTTTTTTAAATTAATATATATACACTATAGTTACATGTTTATATGTATTGTATTGGTTAATAAAATATAGCATGTATCTAACTATCCACCTATATGTTAATTTTTTTTAGGAATTATAATTGCACATTTCTCAAAATGTTCATGGTTATTATATTATATCACACAATAAATACATATCATATTTGTTTGTATGTACCTATATTGTATATAGTTTGAATTTTTCGTAAATTATTTCGTAAGTTGTGTGATAGGGTTTTCACTTATAGCCACTTGATGTCGGGTCTGCAATCCACCGCGCGCAGGTGGATTGCCTACCTGATTTGCTGTAGCACATTGTCCGCGATCCGACGAAGTCGGATTGCCTTCCTAAGTGGCTAACTTGAAAGTTAATAGATTTTGACTTGAGATGGCTGACTCGCTAGAAACTCCAACATGGTTTTCGACTTTACACTTTTTACATCAGATAAAGCACCGGTCATGCTACGGCACATACCACTCTATGTGCAGGTATACTCTATATAGGTGATCCTGGAGATCGTATCCAGCCTATCCATTTACAACGTTTGTGACGAATTGCTAGACGCTCAAACTTTTAACATTCCCCCCAAAGCGTCTAGCCTTATCTCCAATCCATATCACTAATCCATATCACAAATCCTAAACTTTCGTCTTACAACCTTTGCGACTTTTATATTTCACTGTCTCCAAAATCGGTACCCACTCCCAGCGAGTCCGATGGGCCCCGAGTCACACTTAGAGCTAGTTTATTATAAATTGGTAATTACATTATTATATTCTGATAATCTGATTTCTGTTGTACTGTGCCACTGTGGTTTGTGGTTTACTGGTCTGTACTCTGTGGATATTATAAAACAGTTCACAATTGACACACGACTCGATTAAGAAATACAAATATGTTAATGTTATTGTTATACTTCACTAATGACAGGTAAGTTGTTCAAAATAACTTATTAAAATATTTCAATTAAATTTACTTGTTCTATATTAAAATAAATATATTTTATAAGTCTGTAGGTATTTAGTTTAAATAAAAAATAATACATTTAAAAATTAGGTAGGTATATTACATAGTGTTTACATAACTATATCTTAAAATAAGAATACAATTCTAAACAATTTATGTATTTTGGTTCAAGAAAAGTAACATTTCTGCTTTTTAGCTGCTCAAGTTACAGCGACGATCACTCAACAGTAGCCCAGCTTTGGAAAACAAACTTTCACATGGCACTGATGTTCCAAGAGCACATAACATTTTTCTCGCCAACTGATTGAGGTAAGGACTTAAGAGGATCCCAATTTCTATTGACAATTGAGTCTTCTAAATATCGCTGCACCTCAATTATCGCTCTAGATGTAACTGTACCCGTAGATTGAAGTTGTGCCACTTTTGTATCTATTGTTTTCCAGATAGACACAACATTTTCATCTCTATCAACTGGTTCAGGTATGGAATTGGAGTCTTCTTGAAGTGGATCATAAGACGATCGATCTTTAGAAATAATTTCAGCAGTTAACTCAATAAGTAATAACATCATTTTTCACCGACTGTTACATAGAATCTGATAATGTTATTGATTAAAATCGAGGATCCAGGAATGTACACCTAACCAATGTCTTACTATTTTCTATAACTCCCCATCTATCTCTATGATTCATGCCACTTAGTAACTGCTGTAGAACATTTATAACCTCTACAGTAAAGTTTTTCCTAGCCATCTGCTCACAAACATTTTTGAGACCTTGAGAAATTACTAAAATTATAGATGCGGTCATATACTTACTACCACTTACCGCCTTTGTAGCTTCCTCAAAAGGACGTAGCATTTGAATAAGCTCTTTGGTAATTTTCCATTCATCTGCTGAGAGTGTTTGAGGAGGGTTATCTAATAACCCTAGAGTACCTCTAATAGCATCTTCCAATTCAACAAAACGATCTAACATATAGTAAGTAGAGTTCCACCTTGTACTTATATCTTGCATCAATTTTTTGGGTGCTTTAGATCCATTGCTTGTTTGATACATATTGAGTTTGTGGTTAGCTCTACTACTTTTTCGAAAGTGAGTGACAATACATTTTATTTTGTCAATTAAACACAACTGTAACTTAAATGCATCTTGAACAATTAAGTTAAGTGTATGAGCAAAACATCCCAAACTCTTAACTTTTAATGAATTCAAAGCAGATTTGATATTATTAGCATTATCTGAGACTGCTAAAATTATTCTTTTTTTTTTATCTATGTTCCATTTATCTAAAGTTTCTTGAATCGTGTTACATAAATTACGACCTGAATGGCTTTCAGAAAACTCATAGCATCCCAACAATACAGGTCTTAAAACAAATTGTGTGTCAATAAAATTATATTTTATGGATATGAATGCTATATTGTTTCGAGATGTCCAACAATCTGTCGTTAAACAGCTACTCAACGATTCATTGGTTAAGAGCTCTTTTGTCTCATTTAAATTTTTTTGGTATAGCACAGGGATGTGAACTTTGGATATCGTGTGACGATAAGGTATTTTATAAGCTGGATTTAAAAGTTTAACAACATTTTTGAAACCTTCATCTTCTACTACCTTAAAAGGCTGAAAATCTTTGGTAAACAGTTTTAGAAGACCCTCGTCAATCTTTTTTTGAACATCATATGTCATATTTTTGGGCACAAATGTGGTGATTGCAGCTTGCTTTTTTTCCGTACTATTGGTAAGTTATGAGCAGTATTAGCTGTTGATGGTTGATCAGAATTAATTAAAACAGTTTCTGTTTGGGTTGTGGAAATCGATGTAGACGTCGAAGGCAATATACTTTGGGCAGTTGGGGCTGATGATCATCAATCAGTTGGTCGTTTTCATCTGGCTATACATTTTTTTATTGTAAATAATTGGTTAATAACTAAAAATGTATTTTATTATTTTATTTTATTTAAATAGGTACCATTAATTATATATATATATTTTTTTACTATTAATTTTTTTGACATAGGTAAAATATACAATTTTTAAACAAAAAGACTTACATTTTTTTTTATAATTTTCAATATTAAATATTGTTAATTGAATTTTTTTAATTGATTTTTATATTAAGACATTAGGTACCTATATATTTTATTTTTTTAAACAAATAGTCTTAATATTTTATATTATGTAACCTCTTTATTAAAAAACAAGTTAACAATATTAGTATTTTATATCAGTTAAATATACAATTTTAAACAGATTTTCTTTTATTGTTTGAAGCCTGAAGGAGAAATCTTTTAGTTTTATCTTATTCCCAATTTAATTTAATTTATTTTTTCATAATTAAATACTTACTTGAACAGCAGACATTTGGATCCAGTGTGACTTAGCAAGATGGGTTTTTAAATTTGTGACACTTGTCTTAAATGAGTATTTACGTTTACAAATATCACACTTAGCAAAATGAGTGTCATCAATTACAGTAAAAAGTGACCAAATACTACTTGTTTTTTTATTTAGACTCTTTTTGTATAGTAAAAAATACAATTAATAAACTAACACTTCACTGTTCACTACAGAGTTCAGAAGGAAATAGGAATCAGGAATGAGGCATGAGTTTTGGATTTAGTTAAAACTAAATAAAAACAAAATGTTTGGTTTCGTGTTCGTACATGTTTTAATTTGGATATTATGTGTTTTACATCATTTGGTATAATTTATATTTTTAGATATTTATAGTTTAAACTACAGTGTTTCTGGTATAATTAGATGTATTTTTTTTTTTACATTGGTTTTTCGAATAGTGAATTACAAGCAATGATTGGGTACTCTGGTAATGCTATATTAATTTGACTTTGGTCCTGATCTTGATGAAATTCTTCATATTTCATCATTAGCATGTTCCATTATTTTGCAGGTCAAATATGTAAAATTAAAAATACACAATATGATTTGATCAATATTTATAGTTAAAAGTTGATAATTATTTTAATGGTTAAATGAGTCATTAATTATTTTAATTACATTATTTTAACTAAATAAAAATAGTAAAACTATCAAAGCCTAATGTTTATCCCGATTCGTAGATAGGATAACGTGATATCGCCGCTGTTAAATTTCTAAAAACTGATATTGTTAATTAGGTGTTAATAGTAGCAGTCCTGCTATTAGCAACCCACGTCCCACGTTAAAATTATCACATTTATGTGACATCGAAGAAAATAGCAACAGCAGCTATTTATCACTGCTATTTTACATTAGCGATAGCAATAGCTATTCCTATTTAAAAAAATAGCATTATACCATCACTACCAGCGAGTCCGACGGGCCCCGAGTTCCATTAGTAGTAACATAATATCATAAATTGAAATATCTTATCAGTTATCATGTTATCGAGTTATCTGTACAAGTTGCATACGGGTTGCTACTACTGCCACGATAGTTCACTGCTACGATAATATAATGTTCCGAACATATTACTCCGAATGTAAAATGATACGAATACAAGTTATCCGATTATATACAACTACGAAGGTAGATCAAACTATTCCGATATTATTAATATTATTTATATTATTATCATTGATCAACTGTAATATCAATTATTGATATTACCATAATTGATAATATATTAATATTAATGTTATATTATTTACTCAATGGTTATGCCGTTATGGCATTATGGTTTGTGATATAACCACAGGTCACAGATTATCATAGGCGCAATGTGGGGGGTGCTTTAAAATTTATATTAGCACCCCCAAATTTTCAACAGCATCATTTAATTGTTATTGGTTATACACTTATTATGTCATAGACAACAGGATAAATTAATTTCTAAGATTTGACTTATATAATAATAATAATAATAATAATAAATAATAATATAAATTATGTTACCGATATATTATATAATAATACCTAGGTATAATATTATATTATATAAAATAAAATAAAATATCAAATATGATGCATGATACACACATAGATAATAAAGATGGATATCTCTATACTAGCCCGTATCCGTAGGTCGTAGTGTGGTTGTAGCCAGGAACAGCTTATCAATGTCTTTTGCTAATCTGGTAAATAGAAATAACCGTCTAAAAATAGAACGCTCATAATCAATTATTGTCAATTCGATGTGAGCATTCTGATTGTATTTTTTCTATGAAAACACACAGGCCGCACCATCAGGCCATAATCATGTACTCATATTTTTCGAATCGTTAAGTCTGTGCGAGTGTTCGACATACGTGTAACGTGTTTTATTGTTTGTCCTCATTAACTTCCTATATATAATTTAATTTAATTTTAATTACCTACTCAAGTTGTTATTGTTTTTAAATTTTATTATGGAAAATACTAAAAAGATTTTTAGTGATAATGATAAACACCAAGAAGTAAGTTTTGATATTTATTAAATGAAGAAAAACCATCTTTATAATCATCGTAATGTTAATTTTGATTTTGATTCTTTTTATATTTTTACATTTATTTAGTTGAATTCTGAGGTCGTTGATGACCCTGATATTGAAATTATAGAAAAAAATTTTATAGTGAATCAAACTGATGCTAATCTTGTCGAAATATTTCCATTTCCACACAACAAAAATGAACTCCAACATTCTGATTTAGGAAATCTTGCAACTGGACCTTACGGCCCTATTTTAAATGTAAGTTAACTTAACACTAGTTAAAAACCTAGTATAGGTACTAATAATAATTTTACCTCATTTAATAAAAATATTATATAATTTTCAGTTATTGATATTATATTTATTAGGTATTTATAGTTGCTGGTAAGGTATTTTTAATACCTACTTATTTTAGGTGATTCGAAGCAGCGTATTTATTTCATGATTTAGACCTAAAAGCCTGACAAAAATACGCCTACTTAGAATTATCAGATTTCAATTCTGTAAAAAGATTCGAGTTCATTGACAATTTTCCTAGGTTATTGTGGGAATCAATTTTCGATATTTTTTTAGAATTCACGTTAAATCATATTTCGATTTCTCAATTTTTTGAAAATTGTTTGTGTCTTTCTTTAAATAGTTAAACAGTTATTCAAAAATCGACTCCCACAATAACCTAGAAAAAAGAACGATGAATTCAAATATGTTTACAGAACTAAAATCTGATCATTCTAAGTTATCGTATTTTTGTCAGGCTTTTAGGTCTCAATTGATTGAAATTAGTTTCTCGTTGGAACAAATATTTTATTATGTGACATGTGCATGCGCGTGCGAACCACTGATTCCGAACGTATCTACGCACATTAATGATCATTTACTTCGCACCCAATCACCCTGCGAAACGAATTTAAGACATCGAATTGCCTATACACGACCCCTTATTAAATCACCGCTTCGAACCCCCTTAATATTACTTTCTAAACCATTTTTATATTGTATCTAATATCTACAATAGGTATAATTAATATTTATTATTAATATACCTATATACCTATATTGTGATTTGCGAGTAATCATTATCTTGTATTCTTTTTATTTTTAATAATATTTTTAATTAATATTAATTTTTAAAAATGTTATAACTTGATTTGAAGTATTTGTTTTTATTATTTAGATTTAGAACATATTTAACAAATTTTATGTTGTACCTTTAATAAATATTATTAACTAGGTAAGTACCTTTTGATTATTATGTTTTACATAGTAATTTCTTGAATTTTTTTTTTATATAATCTACCTAATTTATTTACATTAAAAAAAAGTTGTATTACTTCATTTGAAGTATATTTTTTTGTTTCTATGATATTTAATTTTCTCAATAATGTTTTTTTTTTTTTATTTTAACTTGTAAGAAATATTATTTCTAAAAATATTATTAACTAGGTGTATTTTGTTTTTGGTCCACTCGACTCTTACTTTACAGCAGGGTGACTTCCCCCATTTTTATTTATACTTTGTTCCTCCCTAGAGTCCCTGGGATTTTATTGTTTCCTTATATAATATGTGTTGAAGTTAATGTTTGGTGATACACAACATGGTATAATAAGTTAAGTCGAAAATAAACATATTATATAGGCAAGTACTTACATGACGGTATATATGTTTTTTTAAATTAGTTGTTTTAATTTTAATTTCTATAATTATCTGTTATTAATCTGGATAAAATATTTTTATCTTTTATCTTTTTGTTAGATGAATTTAATTTGTTTATCTTTTATCTGTATCATAGATAAAATTTAGTGTTGTTATCTTTATCCAGATGATTTTTTGTTATCTGTTCCTAACACTGATTAAAGATATGCCACAACTTGCCATATTTGTGAGGTATGTGTCAAAAGACTTGGAGGTGGTGGAAGAACTCTTGGACCTGGTTACTTTGAAGAATAGTACTCGGGGTTGTGACATTAAAGAAGCCCTGGATGGGGTTTTACAGAAACACGCAGTGCCTATCTTTAATATTGTCAGCATTGCTACCGATGGTGCACCTTCTATGACTGGTACGAAACAAGGACTTATTGGACTATTAAAAGCTGACACATCATATCCTGATTTTCTACCTGTACATTGTATATTCACAGAGAACATTTAGCAGAAAAATATTTTCAATATCCATTAATTACTTTTAGGAACTACTATTTGTATTAAGGGGCCTGCACGCGACCTGTTTTTTTGCTCAAAAACATGCCTTACAGGAAAAACTCTCACGCCTCGTAGATTGGT